ACTACGTTGTGGGAAGACTCCACGAGCGATTTTTTACACAATCCTAGAATTGGTACACATTTTTAAGACTTCAGGACAGAAACGCCATACTCATCATCGTCGGTCATATGAGTTCACTGCATTCGTCCTGCTTCAAGACGTGAACGTTTTACTTCACTTTTTTGAGCTTTTCAACTATCTGACTGACTTTGCAACAAACTGATGTAGTCCATATAAGCTTTCCAAAAAATCAATGACTTTTAAATTTCCGTATATGCTATCTCCAGTTTTAAAAACAGTACCTAGAAATAATCTACAGCAGGCACTATTCAAAACATTTAATAGACAGCTTCTAATACTGATCCCCAACGATGCATTCCAAGATGACGAAGAATACAAGGAAGAATTACATTCATAACACAGTCTCAAAAATTACACTCAAAACCATCATAATAAAATCTCTAAAGAAGAGCTCAGTCCCCATACTAGTAACCCTCACTAGCATATATAGACATTTTGAGTGAGATCTAACCTCTCCAAAGATGGTTATAACCTTCTGGAAGACATTCTTGACGTTTAAAATTCAAGGCACGTCAGAATTGGCGCGAACCTTTCGTGATTGATGGCTGAGTTCCAAGTTAATTGGCAAATTCCCATCCCCATTATTGTACCAACTGTGGTTTGAAATTGCCTTGGAGAAGTCAGTGTCGGTTGATTTGCTGATATGTTGGCGTTTCACTTATCCTAATGCCTTGACAGTCTGATATCGGACTTGTTAAAAACTGCTGTTTTAAGTTGAAATATTAGTTGCATCAGGGAAAGAACATGCTGTTTTTTACTACAAATATTTTCTTTATTTTTTTAACATTGCATCCTAAAAGTTTCTGTTGGTTTTCACACTCGCAGTTTTAGAAAAAAAACCTCTGCGCATTGTTTAGTAATGTTAAACAGGAATTTAAGCTGTGAAAGAGGTTTTTTGTTCATTTAGACTCAAGAAACTGCTTGAGCAGTTTAGGCGAATATGATGTTTGTATCTGAAAGAAGGCTGATTATTATTGTTGTTATTACTATTACTTTTTTTTTTTTTGGTAAAATTCCCAGTTGATATAAACAGACTGTTTATTTAAACTTTATTGTAATACTTACATCGATGGTCGATTGTGTCTTAATTCCTTGTTCAGTTTTTTTTCTCTTTTTTTT